ACTTAATTGTACATCTTCTGGAGAACTTTTTTCATTCTGTGATACACTAGGTGTGGCTTTACTAAAGTGCATCCCATGTTTTCAAGTAGCTAAATATTCTGAAACCCCTATCTGCCATTATATAGAATCCAGGAACCAGTTTGTTTAAATACCCACATTTTTCTATTATTTCTTTATCACTAGTTCTTCCACAAAATGATGAATAAATTCGGTATCTTCAAAACTTTCAGGAGATTCTGCATTTTCTTCCAGAAGGGTTTTTAGGTTATACACCTAAGAATTTATAGAAGCCTCATTTTCAATTTCCTGAAGGGGACAATTAGCAGAAATTGCTGCTACATCTTGATAATCCGGTGTATTTTTATTAAAAAGTTTACGAGAAACATCGCTAGTAGAAGGTTGATTTTCTTCTTTCCAAATTTCTAGGAACACTAATAAATATTTTTGAAGATGAATGTGAATCATTATCACATTCTGGAACAAAACACTTTTTCGTAGTCATAATATTTATTTATAAAAAGTACAAAATAAACACTCAAATTCCAAATAAATTATTGATGGAGACACTATGACAGATGACATACAGTGCTGCCGTTTTGCCATTTTCTGAATTATTAAGTGACTTTTAAAACAATAAAACTTTAAATATAGTAAAAGTTTAAACAGAAACAATACTTTCAAAAAACATTTGATATTATATATTTAAAAGATATTTGTTTAACGATGTTTTAGAAGTCTAAAAGTAAGAAGGAGTACACAAACGAACGTACATCACTTCTCGTAAACCTTCTAGCCGGCAACGTTGTGCGCTAGCTCCTATTGGTCTATTCCCGGTGACGTCATAAATTTTAAAAAAAATCATAACTCCGGCAAATGAATAGATAAAAAAAAAATAAAAAAAATGTAGTTTTATTTTTAACTCTACTATTCATAAAAAAAATTTCAAAATTTTTGAACATGCCCCATTGATTGGTTCTTGTGCTGTAAGTCACTGTAGATTTCAAAAAAGTAAAGTTGGATGGAGTCACTTTTTCGTTAGGCCAACTTTGCTTTTTTGACATCCACTCACAGCACAATCAATTAAAATTTAATTGAAAATTTGTTTAGTCGACTTTATTATCAAATAATTAACCCTATCAAGCAATCAATTCTAACCGTTTTTAACTCAGCCAAAATGCAAGTTTCCATAGATAGATCTAAACTTCACTTTCTTTTCGAGATTTAGAAATGGGTAGTGATGTAGCTCTACCGGATTCAGCAAAATTTTGAAAGTGGTCTATGAAACAAAAGAGTTTGGGAACCTCTGCAATAGATTATACAAAATAACCGGAAAAAGTCTGTAATAACCAGATAGAAGTCATAAAAGTGGCGGTGGAGATGAGGACAGAGCATGCCTTCCACGCGAAAATATCGGGTTCGAATCTGGGCTGAGGACTAATTAAATTAAATATTTTTTTATGTTTATTTTATTTTATAAATTAATAAAATTCATAAATTATTTTAAAAATAGTTATTTTGTCTTAATAATCCAAAATAATTTTTTAAATTTGTAAATTATGGTTAGTAATTCGTAAGTAAAAAATATACAGTATATTTTTTCTACGACCTACTAACGAAAATCTACAAATTTAAAATATTAATTTTGGTTATTAAGATAAAATAACTAATTTAATAATAACCAAGACGAAGATAAAAATTCATTCTTTAAGGACAATTCTTTTTAATTTTCAAAAAACATGACGACGTGATCAATAAAAAATAAATATAGATTACAATTTTTGTCAACATGACGTTTTTATTTAAATTACACGATAATTTTGTTATATACAGAATGTCCAAGGAATAATATTAAAAATACTGTATGTGATTTAATGAGCCCTACAGGCAACTCAGTATGCTACCCTCAGATTTATCAATACATCTAATTTTTTAGTTTTAATACTCTTAATTAAATTTATTTTATATGGTTTTATTAAAATTTATGATTTTTTTGTAAATATAGACGTTAATATTTTGTGAAATGCTCATTTTTAATTATTATGTTTAAACTTAATATCTAAAAAATATAAATACTGACTAGTATTTTGACAAAATTGTTACTAATTTAAAATAAAAAAAAAATAGTAGCCTGGTGACCAAATAAGAACTGTCATTGCTGGATCTCGTATCCGTGCAGTGTTCTTACTGGGTAGAATAGATACGAAATATATTTGAACGCAATGACCTACGTGTTTGTTTGAGGGTTTAAAGATTGTTTTTATGTTTTATTGAATGAAAAAGTATATAGATAGACCCAATAAAGTGATTTATATACGGTATTTTGTGTTTTATTTTACATTTTCTATACGAGGGCTTTCAGTTTGAATATCTACTTTAAATAAATGTATAAAGTATAATCTAATTTAATTGTTATTATAAGACTTTAAATAAATGTGTCTTATTAAAGTATAATTTAATTTAATTGTTAATATAAGACCGTAAGTCTGGGACCCACTTAATGTACCATTGATAAATTCAGACAGATCATACGAACTCGAAAAAAATATAAATACAGGGTGATCCATTTAAAATATTGCCCGATGACGTCATATCTTGAAAACCATTACGTATGCGGGAAATCTGTAAACGTCAATAAATAGAACATAAAATGTACGAAAAACTTTTATCTTAGTCAAATTACCGTACAAGTCATAGTTAAGCCATAAATCAAGTGTACCGCCCATATAGAATGACCCTGTATAGCAGTTCTCCTACGAAATATGTTATAGTTATAGTTAGAAATTCAGTAAATGCTAGTTTTCACAAGTTGATCGAAATATATACGAGTAGGTACATGAACGGAAGTTTTATTACTGAATCTTGGAAAAAGCAAATAAAAACAACATTTACTGACAGTAGCTAGTAAAAGTAATTTCATAGCTTCATAGTGTTTTCTTGGATAGATATTATTGAATTTATAAGATTTTGTAACTCTCTCTCTATCTTCTTGGATATTGGTTAAAGCTCCTTGAAGAATGCTTGATGTTGCTAATCCTAATTTTAATGGATGTAGAAATAGAGCTTTATATGTTGGTGGTGGTCTTTTATTTCCGTATTAACTGAATAAACTTTATTTTTTTTTGGCCAATGTGATGTTTGGTTATCTTGCATCTATGTGGTGATTATGTTTTCCACATTTTGGTTGACAAGTTGACGCGCACTATTCGTAAATCTGGCCATATGAGTTTTAAATTCTCAATTATATGGTTAACAAATTCTCTCTCATTATCCGATTTCAGTACGATCGGAGTACCCAAAAGAGTGAAAATATATATTAACTGTTTGGCAACCTCTTCAGTCCTTTTTGATTTTAGACCCTTCAATACAATTTAGTTAAATGCTCTTGGTACACCAAAATAAATATATATTCTCCATCTCCATGATAATAAATCCAAAGTTTATCCAGCTTTCACTATAACAGCACAGTCAATGCTAACAATTAGATACTAGTAAAAGTTAAAAGTGTATTCAGATTAAAAATATTTAACTTTTACTGACTAGAAAAAGGCAAATCAAAAATAACTTATTCTCCTTAGGAATTATTAACATTTCCTATTTCCAGCATTTACTGTAACAGATACACTCCTTGACATGAAATGTTTTATTTAGTTATTCATTTCTCGTGTAAACGTGTTCAATTTTCTCAAGACTCTCTCCCGCGTCTTATAAACACCTTCTGGCATTGTGTTCATGCAGAATTGATACGTTTTGTAAGGATGTAAAGCATAATGTAGTTAAATAAATATAAATAATAGAGTGAGGGCTGCTCTGCCTGTGTCAGGTGACAGTGTGGCGCGACCCACGCAACGGGAGGGCCTTTATGGGGTTCCTTTCATTGTTGGAGAAAGAGGTTGTTCTAGAATGTGATAACTTTTTTATTTCAAATTAAGGAGTTTTAAATAATGAAGTCAATAAAATAACAGTTGCCGAGTTGGCAATTTTGATATGTATATTTGTAAAAGCATGGTAGAATTAGACAACAATGCAAAAAATCATTAACGATTTTATAAGCAACATGTTTCCAATCTAAAAAATTAGTTTTCTTCACCTATAACAATAATATTATATTTCTCTCCTATTAAGGGATGAAGATGCCATACAGGTTAATCTTTGTATTAGGTAAATGGCACCATAAAGCGGAGCTTATTTTAAACTAGCAGTGGGGATGAACTATCGGTAAACAACTACTAGACTACTCCTTTCACATTGTTACATTGTAACTCTCATTTTTACTCCACACGACGAACTCATAACCGTCTAAGCCCAGAGTAGGGACGTTTACTTTTGTGATGAAACAATGTAGACGTTGCAGTAATATTATAGCGCTACTTTGTTACGTTATTCAACGTTACTGCAAGTTCCCAAAAATGATGTCTTTTTAACAAACCAGATGTGACATTCCTGTTATACCCAAGAAAGTCTTTTTACTTCTTGTAGATGTTATTATAAAGCCCATAAAATAAAATCATATTAATGAACTAAATGTGACGTTCATACCTTTTTATTTTATCTTCCTCTTTTAAATTTTATATAAATATTTTATATATTTCATCCATATAAAACAGAATAGAAATAAATAAACTTGAAGTTGAAAGCTTAGAAGACAAGTTTAAACTTCTATTCTAATCCCAGAAAATTAAAAAAAAAAGTATGATAATACAATGGTCTAAATCAATATCAAAAGTAAAAGTAAGAACTTCGATGAAATACTTAACACTGTTTTAAAAGTAAAAAGTTATAAAGCTAAAAATAAAAAACTTTTCGACATTAGTGCCTGCAAATACAAAAATCTTGAAGAATGTTCCTGTAGCAAAGAAAAAAAGGTAAATAAATAAATACATTTATAGTAATTTCTTTAGTGATATAATTTCCCATTTGTCGTCCGACATATTTTCTTATTTAATAGGTGATTTCTCCTACATGTGCGTCCCTTTCTCCTAGATCAGCGAAGTTACAGAAAAATGGTTATGGCAGGTGTTGATGCAAAAGAAACAACCAAATTAATAAACAAAACTAGACGTTTGAAGAAAATGCAACAAAGGAAAGAATTACACAAAAAGGTTTGCTCTGAAAATGATACAAAACTGACGCTAGACATTAAGCCAAACATTTTTTCGAAACGAACAACTAATATACCAGTTTCCTCTAGTCATTACTTAGATACAACTTGTGAACAACCGTCTACTTCAAAAGAATTAGCAATTCCCAGAAATACAATTAAACTTCCTACTCTCGCCAAAGTTTGTGACAGATACGGATTATCGGATAGATCTGCAGCAGCAGTAGCTACAGCTGTCTTACAGGAGGTTGGTATCGTAACAAAAGAAAGTTCAGTGCAAATAATAAATAAAAATAAGTTAAGAAGAGCCAGAAAATATTTAAGAACTAAAATTATTAATTTGGTAGACTGTGAACCTATTACTGCAATGTATTTTGACGGTAGAAAAGATAAAACATTATCTTTTGAAGAAATAGACGGCAAATCTCGCAAAAGAACAGTAACTGAAGAAGACATATCTTTAGTGCAAGAATTAGGTTCGGTGTTTCTGGGACATACAATACCCTCCTCAGGATCTGCAAAAAATCTTTGTCAAATTATAGTTGATTTTTTACAAGAAAATAACCATGATTTGTCAAGCTTATTAGCAGTGGGGTCTGATGGCACAGTAGTGTCAACACAGGACTAAAGAATGGAGTGATTACTCTACTTGAATATAAGTTAGGACGCCCTTTACAACGATTTATCTGCCAGCTGCATGCCAACGAGCTACCTTTGAGACATCTTTTTCTATACCTTGATGGCCAAACAACCGGTCCTAGTGCGTTTGTAGATATTCTGGGTCAGCTTGTAGTCCGATGTGAAAATTTTCCAGTTGTGCAATATGAAGTTATTGGCTGTAAATTACCGGAAGTACAGTGTAGCGACTTAAATACCGATCAGAAATACCTTTATAAAGTTTGCCGTGCCATATCCTCTGGTCAATGTTCTGTAGATTTAGCAAACCAGAATCCAGGAAAATTGAGCCATTCCCGATGGCTTACTTTGGCAAACTGCTTATTACGTTTGTATATTTCCACCAAAGAACCCAGTTCCAATTTGAAAGAACTGACAAATTTCTTCTTAAAGTCTATGCTTCAATGTGGTTTTTAATTAAACGAAACAACTCTTGTACAAATGGGGCAAAACATATATGGCAAACCATTAAGCAAAGTCGATATTTAAGAGATGATCTGAAACAATCATTGACCCAGTTATCCAACGAAATGCATTTTTTGCACACCCGGAAAACCTACTATTATGTATGTAAGAGAAGGGAAAGTTCAGAAAAAATTCGTGTTCTTAAAATACCAGAACTGAAGTTTGATGCATATGACTATACCACTTTAATAGGCTGGCAAAATAATGATATTACTCCTCCTCCACTACTTCAACATTTAGAATTAGGCGAACTAGAAAATATAATAAAAGAAACCCCAAATAAAGTCATTGGGATTACATCTTACCCCTGTCACACGCAAGCTGTGGAGAGATGTGTAAAATTAGTGACGGAAGCATCGTTATCAGTTGTAGGTAGTAAAAAGCGAGATGGGTTTATAAAAGCAAGATTAGATTCTCGTAAATTAATGCCACAATTTGAAAGCAAAAAGGACTTTACACAATAAGCTTATTTATTTGTTTGTTTTTTATTAACTGTTCTAGTCAATGTAAAATGTGAAAAATTTAAAATAATAAAATTTAATATGATTTGACTGAAAAATTTTAACTGTTGCCCTTAACGTTTGAATTTTCGGTATAGGGGGCAGAAGACGCATGACAATTAAAAAACTGTTAATAAACATTTTGGTGCGGATAACATAAGGTAACTATTCCAAATCGAAAATACAAATTTCGATTATCAATTTTTTTTTTTTAATTTTTGAGTTGCGGTAGGGGGCAGAAAATGCATGAAAATCAAAAAACTGTAAATAAACATTTTGGTAGGGATAATATAAGGCAACTTTTGGGCACTATTTCAAAAGGAAATTTAATAATGCGAACTTTCGGCCCACCCTAATAGCCAGCCTTTCAGGTTTATAATATCGCCGAGAAGCGTCTTTAGATTCTCCATTTTTTGGGATGTGTCCATTTGATGGGCTTTTACCACCCCGATGGTAAAAGCCCAGGTGAAACCATTCTCTCCACCCGCTGTACAGAGCAAATATCTGTTCTTTGTCAGATTAATTATTTAAAATTGTTGCTCTCAACAAGTTGTCTTCGAGAAAACTGAGCTAGTTTATTCACTGTGTTTCATTGTAATATTTTATGTTGTATGTTTCGTAAATAAGAGCTATGTATGAAACTAATTACGAAATGCCTTATTTTATGTGACATGTGAATATTTTCGGGACGAGCAGAGGGAGGTCCTGCAACTAATTACATAAATCGACATTTCGTAACGTTACATATAATATTTGTCCTAATTTTGACTAGATTATTTATAAATAATATTGTGTTTTGGTAAAAAATTACTGACATCTAGGCAACCAACATTACTACTTTCTTGTATTGTTTAGTGCATATGGTTAACTTCATTCTTTTATTGACACATAGAAAATCATATTCATTTATTCTCAATGACTTATTTTAGTGTGGTTATATTGCTTGTTAAAGTTATTTAGATTTCAAGAAATTGGGTTATTTTGTGCGGATTTAGAATGGAAAATAAGGACCAAAACGTTGCAAGTTTAACAAAATTCTATTTTTATAAGTCTACTTACCCTTCTTTGATATAAACTTTCAATGACAATGTAAATATTGATATTAAAACCAAAAAAATGTTTATTTTTATTTGTTTTCTTTCCGCATCTAGTGACATGATGAATTTTTCGTAACCAGTTTTATAATGTTCAACATGATGCCACTTGTTTGCGTAAAGTAGATCATTTTGACACTTGCTACGATTACAGAAAATGCCATTTTATATGTCAAAATTAGAAAAATGCTTTTATTGGTACAAATATTATAATTTTGCATAAAAAAATCTCTAATTTTTAATCATGTCATTCAGTTCAACTTTTGAAAGTAAAATCTCTTCATTTAAAACTTTTTTTAATGTACGCCAATGACCTGAAATAAACAAATATACAAAACGTATTCCTCTCCGCGGGTTATTGAAGGCTAGTAGCCTTTATTATAAATCAAACTTTGTAGTTGGAAAAAAATCATCAGGTAGCTTATGGCTTTTTGTATCCGAGGACACTTTGGCGTGAGACACTTTTCAAAATGCACCCAAAAACTGGACGCCCGGTAATAAGTGCGTTTGGGACCTACATAAATTAGAAGTGGGTGGTAGTTTTTCGGGGTCGTAAAAATATATTGAGTAATTAATATCCATAAATATTGTTTATTAGAAAAGTTTTGATGTTCCTTTGGTTTTATGTGAACTCTGGGGAAAAGTAACTATTCTTTTAAAATTTATTGTTGGAGAGGAAACTTTTAAAAAAATAATGAGTTTTTAAACTATAATAATATGACTGTCTCGAAAATTATTTAAAATATGAGTATGCAATTTTGTAAAGGGCTTAACACGTAGGTATTGGGTTCAGAATTTGAAGTTTATTATTTCTTTTCTATGTTGCATATTATACCGGGTGTCGAAATAAGAATGGACGCAGGCTGTCGGCGGCTGTCAATGCGTTTTAGAATTTTGGGAAAAAGAGAAATCGCTGGATATAATTTTTTTATTTTAGCCATAAACTGTTTAATAGGGGATAGGCAAAATTGAATAGAATTTTGCACAGATTACGATTTTTTAAAGTTTTTTACATAACCTAATTTGACATTTTTTAAATGTGAGTTTTAATCATTAACCAAGAGAATTACGCCCTCTAGCGGCGAACGTAGCAGTTTAAAAATAACTTCCAGTTACCAATTTTGTTTAAAAAATCTCGGATCTGTACGATAAAGGGTTCCTTAGATAAGGCGGATGCCAAAAAAAAATTAAAGAGAGAAGAGTTTAAAGTTTACTCAAAAAATTACCTTTTTGTACGCTGCTATTTAGAAACGGATTAAACAAATTTAATGAAATTTGCCAGAAGTTCATTTTAGAGGATTACTCTACTTTCAGTAATCAAATAAATCCAAAGAAAATTGTAAAAGAGTTAGAAAATTTCACCCCCTGGCATTTTTTCATTTTATTAGGGATGATAATGACAATGCTTACTCACCATCTTCATATTTTTACTATTGTAAAAACTACGCATTTCACATGGTTTCAAAGAAAATAGCTATTTGTGTATTAAAAGCGAAGAGTTATACTTTGCTACTTGAGACAGAATCTGTCGAACTTTTCGCTCGAAATGCACACAAGATTTTTTTCTACGATCACATTATTTTAAGAAATAAATACAAAAACTGAAAATTTGTCGTAAGTAGTGTATAATGTGTTGCCTATATCTAAGTTAATTATGAAAAACGGAGTTAATATTTAAAGTAAATGTTAACTTTGATAATAAAACAAAAAACATCAAACTACGTAGGTACAAATAACTTGAAAATCATGTATTAAAAAGAAATATTAATATATTATATTTAATTTAAATTAGGAGAGCAATAAAGCTGTCAAGTTTGTCGCTTTGCGGTTGTATTTGGAAGCGCAAAAGCCTACTTTGGTCAGTGATCGTAGAAAAAAATATTTTCTCAGTACAAATTGAAATGTAGTAAAAAATTTAGTTGACCGTGGACACAAAAACAAAAGAAAAGTAATAATTTGGCAGGAAACAAAATTCATAATCGCCCCAAGATTATTGTTTCAATAATCTAATCTCATCTTTATAATATTATACTTATTGATTTGAAAAACATATCCCTAAATTAATTTAAAAGGAAATAGTGGAAAGTGACTTAAATTATTTTGGACTCTTACACCCTAGAGGAGTTTTTTGATCATTTTAAACGCTAAACCCTTCAAGGGCGGCTCCAGGGAGAAAGTCCCCCTCCCTCCTCTAGATTAAAATAATTACAATCTATGAGCCTTTTATTAAAAGAAATATGCTAAAAAGAAAATGGCAAATGACGAAAATTTGGCCTGGAACCGCCCTTGAAAACATTTGTGATAATATGCCACCAACACCAACTCCATCGCACCCAATCAACCCAGATAGCATACTGATGTCACTGCAACGTCATGTTTTGGTGATAATTAGCCCTGGAAGTCACATCACCTAAAAATGACGTCTCACAGACGTCATAAATGTGACGTCAATACGACGTAATGTGTTAAAGTCATAATTTGGTCATACATTTATAAATTTAATTAAAGTGCCAACATAGTTGGGGATTTTATTTTTCCAGAAAAACAAAAACAATTTTTGGCCGTCTTTCAAGAGAAAATTGTGAATTTTATATTTTGATGCCTAGTCGCTGATTGGATGAGGGCCAAAGAAGAGAAAAGAAGAAAACATTGGGGTATGTTAACATCAACATGGTGTGATCAGTGTGTTGCACAAAAGTAGCTACTTATAGTCTTAGTTTTGTTATTATTAGATAAGATATTCCTCATGTGATTGCATACATGATGTAAGTAGTAATACAATTTTCAGATGACTATGAGGATGACCTGGCTTTAGTGCACCTCAAATGGTTATCACCTCGAGAAGAGAAGTTTGTTGGACACCCTACAGGAAATTATGTCTGTATAATGCTCTA